GAGGAAGGTCGATCTGCCTCGGGATGTATGGCTACTCCTGTGCGCCCGCCACAAATGGATCTCAGGAACATCTGCAGCCGCCGATGTAGCTTGAGGCTGCCCCACACTGTCAAGTGGACCTGGTCTTTGAGATCGCGCTGATAAATGTGATCGTTCGACAAAAAGTGCCAGCCAGGCCTCTCACAAAGCTCTCTCAGTGCGGAATTTACTGACGCTACACGATGATTGATGTCAACGCTCCGCGTCTGACAAACTGCTGACAGCACAAACTGGACGTCCGGACATTGCACACGCAAACGCCTCGACGCTACCTTGAAAACTCGTAATAGCTCCCCTACTCCCGCTGCGCCTTTCCCCTTGTTACTGATGTCGTTGATACCACCATGCAAAACTGCCAAATCAAGTTTTTGTGACCGACATGCTGCTGCCAGGATCCTAAGCAGGGTTGCCATCTTTGCTCCACCATTTACATTCACATTGACCTTGAGGAAGGAGGGCCACGCGAACTTGACTATACCGTTGAACATAGAATCAGAGACAATCAGGACTGACTTCTGCTCGGTGAGGGTACGAGATTCTCGCAGGATATCGGGTCCTGGCGGAAAATAACACCTGAAAGCCCAAAGCTCAAATGGAAGCCCCTTGCCGTTAGGCACATAACCGCTACGAGAAGGCACCTCGAGTACTCCTGTCTGACCTGCTTCACTTAGACGCATAGACTTCTGAGCGAAGGAGTTTAGATGCGGCCACCAGGGCCTAGGGTGAGGGTGCTTTGGGACGACCAGTGTAGCAACCACGTCCCCCCACTCCCGCAACAGCCGGATGACAGATGAAATTAGGACGAAAGGGGGAAACGCATACAATACTTCTCCCCTAGGACACGGCTGAGCAAAGACATTTACCCCTGAGGTGCCAGGGACCAGGTCTCTGGAAAAAAAACTTAATCGGAAGCCCATTTTTTCCCTGCGGTACGTTCGACTGCAGAGCCATCAGGTCCAAGGTGAATCCGGTGTTTCCTCCAAACTCCTCTTGAAGAAGCCACCACAGAGACGAGGAAAGCTTTGAATCAGCCCTGGACAGCGTCCTTGAGGGAACATCAGCCCGATTACTGCCGGATGGTACCCACTGAAGCCGCAGATCAAAATTCGCTTCCAAAGTAAACGCGAATATGAGTCTCAAAACTCCCGCTAGAGCAGTCGACCTCGCCCTCAGACCTGACCATGCATGGTATAATCCCTCCGAGTCCACCTGAACATCCACCCTTTTGTCCCATAGCTGGTTCATCACTGAGATAAGGACAAAGTAAAGGGCCAGAGCTTCCTTATAACAGATGTCCGTTGACCTCTGAACTTCCGGGGGCCAGTAATCTCCAAAGGTGATGCCTTTGTTCCCTTGTGCCAGCACTCCACCCCATCTATAGCCGGATGCGTCTGAACTTAGTAGTAATCTTAAATGACGTTCTTGTCTCCAAGGTATTGGTTGCGAAACTGAATCAATGAACCTCCAAAATAGGACCTCCTCTCGTACCGACTGCGTCAGCTGAACGGGCGTGACGTCATCCATCTGGGACGTGAAACTGTAGCATTCCCTTACAAACAGACGGGCTGCAGGAAACACTAATACAAAACTCTGGCATTTTCCAATGAACCTCTGCATGGTCTTCAAACACACCCTGTCTTCAGACAAAATATCTTCCCTCACTCCGGCGAAGGTTTCCTTCTTTTTATCCGGTATCCAGAATGACAAAGAAGTCGAGCATAACCCCAACCCCAAATGGACCATACTTGAAACTGGTTGGAGCTGACTCTTCTTCAAGTTGACAAAGTAACCCAACTTTGACTGCATGTAGCACACTACGTATAACGCCCGTGACGCCCTCTTGTAAGCCTCATCGCCACTAGCATCCGATGGGTCCTGTAAATGAGGTACGAAATGTTTGTACTTAGCCGTCCACCTTTCCATCTCCGCCCGCTTCCCCTATGAAGCGGTCGTCAATCCAAACTTCTGTGTGAATGCCTCTGTTTTTTAGCCATGTCGAAAGACAGAAGCCGACAGTTGAGTAAATATAGGCACTATTTTTGAAGCCGAACGGCAGGGTCGTATCTTCAAAATAAAACCCCGCCCATTCGAACCCGCAAAATGTCTTAGACCTCCCTGTAAGAAGAAGCTGTTGGTACCCTTGGGCATCGTCAGTTCCTGAAAAGAAACCTCCCTTATGTACTGGCTTGACAATATCTCCCAATGGTACCAACTTAAAGGGTGTGTCCTTACACCATAGATTTGGGCCTTTCATAGACAGGACCAGTCTGGGTTTACTTGGCTCAATCGATAGGGCATTTACACATTTTGGTGGTGATACCTCATGCACGGCCCCCAATAACTCCACTGAACCCTCTATTAACCGTTTTGTGATTGTGTCATTGATGAAAGGTACAAACTGCTTGCAGATAGGTGCGTTAGGAAAATACATGTGAGGAGGCGTTTCTGAATTAAAGTCCCTGCCTCGGTATTTACCTTGATACGGCTGGAAAAATTCAAATAAATCTACTCCCCCGTGCAACCACACCCTGACCTGATCACCCATTCCCGGGCATTCCGCCAAAACCTGATCCCAAATTTCCAGATGGTCGTGTAAACTACCAGAAACAAAGAAATTAGGGTCGCGAAAGCGAAGGGGCCCTGAAATCCGGTGGACAAATACCGGCCAAAACATCCGCCGGCTTCGGGGCAGACCCACTTTGGGCGTCTGCTTTTCTCCCCGATATGTCTACCCATGAATATATTCCACGCCTCCGCACTAGGGCCTGCGCCGCAACGGGGTCAAAATCATGGCCCGTGGAAAGTTCCCAGTTATGAGTTCTGAGGATTTCCAGATATCGCTGGTATTCCTGCAAAGGGTTTGGGTTGAATGGGGAGAAAGGGGAAAGAAATGACATACTGACAAGAAAACCCGATGCAAGAGATTTCTATGCTGTTTTATTCAGTCTCAAACACTCCACTCAACATAATATGAAGGATCGATTTTCCTCAGTTATAATCTCACTTTTCATCTAAGCGGCCCCGACCTCGCTTGACCACATGGTATTTATATCCCTATTCTGTCACTCAAAGATCAAGGGATTCATTGACACCAACTTTTCATTTTGTTTTCTTTCTTATTCTTTCCTGTCCCTTCGTCTTGTTTAGCCCTTGTGTGCTGTGCCCCTTATACAATAGACACTATATGATCTCCTTACAATCTCTGGCAAAATGCCCTTTCTTTTGACACCGATAACATGTATCTCGCAACCTAGATGCCGCAAAGGCCCCTCGAGGACCAAAGGACTGACGGAACTGCTGGTAACCTGTTCTGTATTGTGCCCCTTGTCTGCCCCTATTTTGCCCCCCTTGGTTGGACATTCGTCCTCTGATATTAACGGGCGGGGAAGTCAACCCCAAGTGCTTTCTAGCAAAACGTAGACGCTTGTCAGAGTCTTCCCCTGTTATGGATTTATAGATGTACATTGCCACTCCCTCCATCTTTGCCTCTACATGCTTTGTACACTCGGACAGGAGGTTTACATATAGCTGTTTCTCTTTCCAGTCCTCTGTTGACAGGGGAATGAACTCGTCTACGTACTTGCGCAGAAGGGACATAACGTACGCCACATTTCTGTCATAGCCCGTCTCTGTGCAAGCCCTCAATAGCTCCATGCGGCGGGGTTTATGTACCTCCAAGGCCGACCTGGCCTGCAGTTTAAAAGAACTAACCCAAAATATTTCCCCCTTTTTTCCTTCTTTTTATTTGGGGGGGGGGGGGGGTTATCATCTATTACCGACTTCGTCAGGGTTCACCCCATTACGAACCATCTCTGTAATGCAATTACTAATCGGTATAAATCTAGATTTTTTATTTGTGTGTGTGTGTGTGCGATTAACACACTTTCCTGGACCTTTATCTTACAACCAATAGGCAATTTCTTCGCCTGCTTTCATCTAGCTACTTTCAAACCATCCCTACAGGTGCTCCCATACCGATTTATTATTATGTATATGTATTTCTTATGTTCGATAATTTGTACCCATAAAAGATACTTTGAGATATTGCGGCGGTCAAGGGGATCTCCAACGCCCGCCATTAAAATTGAAAAGGTTGAATTATGAATGGTTGCCTCACCCTTTTATTGGTCTATACAAAGGACGACGGAGTTCCTCCCCGACATACATTACTACCAAACAAAAGTATCTGCTCACCAAACCTAATCTCTTGAAACGACCTTCCCCCAATAAATCATTAAGCAACCAAGTATTTCTCTTTGGTTTACCCTGAACGGGTTTCCCCTTTCTATGCCTGAAAACGGTTTTGTTCTTGATTTGTTTTCCTTCATAGATTATCAACTGAAGACGGGGCTTTTCCCCTTCAAACATCAGGGCCTGAAAACGGGGCTTTTCCCCTTCATACACCAGCGCCTGAAAATGGGGCCTTTCCCTTTATAGCCTGAAAACGGGGCTTTTCCCCTTCATACAAATAGCCTGAAAACGGGGCTTTCCCCTTCATACATATAGCCTGAAAACGGGGCTTTTCCCCTTCATAAATATAATTTGAAAACGGGGCTTTTCCCCTTCATAAATTTAGACTGAAACGGGCCTTTTCCCCTTCATAAATATAGCTCGAAAACGGGGCTCAAGTTCCCCTTCATAAATAGAGCTCGAAAACGGGGCTTTTCCCCTTCATAAATATAGCTTGAAAACGGGGCTTTTCCCCTTCGTCAATATAGCTTGAAAACGGGGCTTTTCCCCTACATAAATATAGCCGGACAACGGGGCTTTTCATAGCCTGAAAACGGGGCTTTTCCCCTTCATAAATATAGCTTGAAAACGGGGCTTTTCCCTTTATAAATATAGCCTGAAAACGGGGCTTTTCCCCTTCATACATATAGCCTGAAAACGTTTTTTTTTTTTTTTTTTTTTTTTTCCTTTTTTTTTTTTTTTTTTTACGTTTTTTTTTTTTTTCCTTTTTTTTTTTTTTTTTTTATATATTCCCCCTCTTCATACACATAGCCTGAAAACGGGGCTTTTCCCCTTCATAAATAGCCTGAAATGGGGCTTTTCCCCTTCATACATATAGCCTGAAACGGGGCTTTTCCCCTTCATACATATAGCCTGAAAACGGGGCTTTTCCCCTTCATACATATAGCCTGAAAACGGGGCTTTTCCCCTTCATACCTCATCGCCTGAACACGGGGCTTTTTCCCTTCATACCTCATCGCCTGCAATGAAAACGGGGCTTTTCCCTGTCCAAAGATTATTGTTGTCTGACAACGGGGCCTTTTCCCTTCACACGGGGCTTTTCCCCTTTATTTACCATCGCCTGAAAATGGGGCTTTTCCCCTGCATAAATTATTGTCTGAAAACGGGACTTTTACCCTTCCTTATGATTATTATACATGGTAATAGTGTATGTACCTGGGAGGTAGTCGATTCCGTAGCGGTCTGACCTGCTGCCGCTGATCCGCTGGGGCCTGCACCTTGATCCTTGTCTGGCTCCTGTTGGGTTGCAGCCACTTGGGAAGGCGGGTCCGTCTCATCGTGCCGGCGCTTTCTCTTAGGCACCTGCCCCTCCAGAGGGCCGGCCTCCACCCGCTCGATCAGTTTTTCGAGATTTCTTTTCTGGCCCCCATTTGGCGCCAAGGCAAGGACATGCGCCTTCCAGGCCCCTGTCAGGTCTGCTAACTGCTGCACCTCATCCCATCCGTCCTCTACTAAAGCCAGGAAACACTTCTCCGAAATCTTGAATGCGGAGCAAAGGCCTTTGAACAATGCCCCGACCGGCCCACCAGCGTCTCCGTAGGCCCCAGCGTTCTCCTGAAACGAGGAACATTTTATCAAATCTAGATTAATGTCTCAACACACGCAATGGTAGAACAGCCATATGAATTTACTGTAATTTATATTGTGATTTATTAACGGTTCCCACCAATTACACCTGTCCATACCAATACATATCTATTCCCTCTCGACGCCCAGTTTAGGAGCCGCAGTGACATTCGATTTAGGTCTAAGCCTGCTAAGTTTGCTGAGCCTTATTAACTAGCGCGTCTGTTAATTGCAACCTCTCTATATTTGTGTCATTTGAACCCCCTTGATTGCCTTGTGACGTTCCTGGAAACGAACCCTTGTCTTCTCTGCTGTTCCTGCTTTGTCTCATTGTTTCTCGACGAAGTTGTTTGCTATGCTTGTCATTTTCTTATTTATTTAGTTTCATCCTGAGTGTAACTAACCTCAATTGCGTCGTATACTTCCTCCATAGCTGACCGTGGTCGAAGGCCTGTACGAGCGCTACCAACACCAGCGCAACACGACAACTGAAACGCCGTTTGAATTTGAGCGCGCTGGCCCGTGACGCCATATAGCCTCAACAAGCATTCCCGTCTCGCCGTTATGACAATAGCCGCACTGCATATTCAGTTACTTTAAAAAGCAAACGGTCACACCCGACCAAATTCAAAAGGCAACAGTGCTATCCAGCACACACATTACGCTGTTGTTATTCAAAATGTACCTTTGTACCTGTGGACCTGCAGGATCTCGCCTAGGGAGGGGCAGGGCTCGTGTATAAACCCTCCCCGCTATAGATAACCATGTTCAATTCCGTAATAAAATTAACCATAAAGGTTTTACCTTACGTCACCAACTCTCTAAAGGCCATAACACTGTTATATAGACCACCTTCTGAAAAATCCTCCCTCTGCTACCTGATGGATTTTGGTTTGGGGGCATTTTCGGCTGTTTTTGTGCCGACCAAGCCCTCAGACCACCCAGCTGTGGAGACGCCAGAATCGCGACTGATGTACATCTGTCGCCCTCAACGATCACAGTGATGCAAATAGCAGTATCGTCAGCACGTACAAAACCGTGCGTCTATAGGTCAACAGGCACGCGCGCGTTGAAACTGGCTGCCTTTTTGGGTTGGGGGTTGATTCAGGTCCGTTTGGTCGTTAGTTTGCCCTGAAATGCGACAGATGTGCGTAGTTTACCCAAAAAATCAACATGAAGGCCCACAGAAAATTCTATCGCATTTTGAAAAAAAAAATAGTCAACAAAGTTGCCCAAATTACTACGCTTAATAATTGACAGAAACCGTCAGGTCAGCAAAAATGGCGAAATTGCTAGAAATTGGAAGAAAACCCGGATCTACCCGTTTGTAAACTAGTGAAGGTCAAGCCTTTTGAAGGTGTTGTTATTGATGATTCACGGAATTAAATATACATCCGGCTTTGAAAACCGCATCAGCATTTAAGTGGTCAGCACAAGGTCGGCATTTTGGCTTTAATCATTGAAAAAAAGGCGGGGAAAACAAGACCCGGATACTAAATCGTACTTTTTTGTGCCGAAATCGTGGCCCGAATTCAAGTTCAGTCGATTGAGTAGACCCGTAACAATGAATTGACGTCAGAGGTCCGATAGGCCGACGGACCGCGCACGTATCCTGCCAGCACGTAGCCGTGGAAGTTAGTTCCCCCGTTTTTGAGGGTCAAGGTCAACCTAAAGTATAAAGCCACGACCCATTCCGAGGAACTAGCCAGAAAAACCGCCGGCTGGGGCTCGACCAGAAATCAAAGAAGAAACTTGTTTCCGCTGGTTGAACGATTCGTCTGCAAGTTCTTAGCAAATTAACTCACCACAAAGTTATACGCGGTGGCATTGAAACGACCATGAAGGGAGTTGTGTTCTGCTTCGTGTTGGCCGTGTTGGGGTGCAAGTTTGGAGCGGATGCTCAAGGGGGCAGGGCTGAGCTACGCCCTGTCGATGAAGGTAAAGTGTTGGATTTTTGAATGTCTCTTCTCTCCTTCAGGCGCGGTGCTAGTCTTCTAGAGCCTATATTTTTTGGGGAGCTAGCAGGGTGGATGCAGAATTTTTTGCACGGGACGCGTGTTGAAATGTAGACCGGTTATTTTCTTCGGACACCTATATAGGCCTTCGAAAATCAATAGGGGGGGGGGGGGCTCGTATCATATTTTCATTCGGAAGCGCTGATAAAATCCAACGATAAATTATGCACACTCTATTAACTAATAGTGTACAAATGCACCCTTCTCCCGACTATTTATTTAGGGGAAACCGTTCGCATGTACGTCACTTTCTTACATTTTGCTACTGCAAAAAAAAATTATTGAATTTTTTGTTGCAATTTTTTTTTTCTTTGTAGAACCGCCACTGCGCTCGATTTTTCTATAGTTTATTTTGATAATCGGTAACCTTGGAAAGAAAATCACATTAAAGCTGTATTGTCATTGCCATTTTCGAGTTTCACGGGCCCAATTTCTTTTCTTTAAAATACAGTCGAATCTCGTTAGTACAAACTCTGTTAATACAAAATTCTGGTTATAACAAACATAAATCCTTAGTCCCGACTGTGCATTTATGTGCACAATGAATGGGACTGATGTTCCTCTTAATACACAATTCTGATATAACAAACAATTTGGCTAGGTCCGAATGAGTTTGTATTAATGAGACTCGACTGTAGCTGTTTTCTAGCAATACAAAAAATATTTAATTTTGAATGAGACATATCTCGAATTGTTTTCGTCCCGACACGTTTCAGAGGGTAGACTGGTTCCTGCCTCTAAAATAGATGAGTGGATCATTCTTTATTAATGTACGAAGTGTGCGTAAAACGCAACCCAAAATACCGGCCCCTCTTTCAATTTCCTGCAGACTTACGCTCAAAATGTGTTTTGTTTTCGTTAAAATAGAAAGTGCAAGTTTAAAATTGGCGTCACTGGGGGGGGGGGAATTCCTCCATGTCCGAACGTTTTAGTTCCGTATAAATATCATCAAAGGCCTGTCATCATGACTGGTGAACCGCACAAAAAAAACTTTAGCCAATCAGCAGCTAGCTGGCGATTAGGCGACTGCGCACTTGTTACGTCACGTGGTACGGCCACGTGCACTTTTTTTCCGACACAGCTGCGTGATATGTTGCAGCGAAATTAGGAATCCCCACACTTCAGTCGGGTCCTGAGATCGGTGTTGTGCTCCAACCTGCTGTGTTAGTGCATGGAGGAAGGAATTTTTCCTCCATGGTTAGTGGGGTAGTGGTATCGTGTTAAAAATTGCTTTGAAAAAAACTATGGTAAATCATATGAAAAAATAAACTAACTGAAAATTGCGTTAACTTAAAGTGTCCGGAAATTGGGCAAAGAGTCAGGCTAGCCCATAAATGTGGCCAATTTACTGGACTACCTCCATAAACATAGGCCACACATCCACATGTACAAAAACGTGTCGCACTTTGCCAAATTTTGATTTTCACATTTAGGCTTAGTTTGTAGGTTTTTTGCTTTAGAAGCATACTCACCCTCTTCATACAGTCATAGGCTAATCTGAAAGTGCTGCCTTTTTCAGATGTCTAATTTTTGTGATATTTCATGTTGAAATTTTGATACGCAAACGTGTGCAAATGAATCTGGAAATTTCACGAAAAATAGACATCTGAAAAAGACTTTACTTTCAGTAAAAGTGGTATTTGTATTATTTCGGCCGAATTTTGTTCAAATACAGACTTTTTTCCTTCAAATACTGCCCCCAATTTATATCAAATACTGCGGCTTAACTGCCCCAATTTATATTGAATCATGGAGGAATTTCCTCCATGATTGAATTAAGTTCGGCCACGTTTAGTTTGCAATCGGTTACACATCCGTGGATAGATACAAGCCAGCCAGTCTGGTTCCCGGACCTGACAATTCCCTGACCTCTATCAATTGCTCCGTTTTGTCTGAAGTAGCGTCAGAGAACCAGACTAGAAAAACAGCACCTTTGTTCTTGGTTTTCCCAGCATCTCTGAACACAAAACTTTAAACGGTTCGTGTAAACGATGTAATGACTCGCTCTGTTCTTTTCTGTTTCCCTTTCAAGGACCATGCCCTCCTGGGGAAGAACTAGTGTCCTGTTATATCGATCCCTGCGAATTGGCAACCTGTCGAGGCAATCCCTCGGCAACTTGTGTGTCTAATTACTGTGGAGGTTGCAACCATGAATTCCAAGATGCTCAAGGAAACGTTGTTGACTGTTCAGGTAAGAAATCACCTTGGCTAATGACTGGTTCCATTTCAGACAGGGCTCTGGAGTGCTCTGAAACGTGCAAAACTAAATCAGGCCCAATTTACTCACAGTTTAGCCAGCAAATTTCTCCAAGAATTCCACGGGGGCAAAGAAAATGTCCTCAGTATTTCACCAACCAAGTTTGCAGACCCAATTCAATTTTTAAAGGAGACTTTTCTTCAATATTTTGCACATGAAGGGGAAGTCAAATTATTTCAAAATGGGGCTAAATACTAGACTGGTACATGTCCTACTATGGTCCAACTATTTGAAAAGACTGACCTCTTCATTCAGTGTCAATAGTCTGGTGGCTTGACTATAGAGAAATGTGTAGTAAATTGAGACTAGTTCCCGCTTCATGCCACACAATTCTTTTGGCATGGTTGATTGATGCAGTACTGACGCTGTGTTGGACTGGTTGTTTTAGGTGCCAGTCTATTTTCTTGTTTTGCATGTTTTCAATACCTTAAGTTTTGGGACTCTCATACACAGTATTGAGAGTCCCAAATTTTCGGACTAGTTCCACTTTTACATGTACGTTTCATGCTTGAAATGTTTGAAGAAAAAAATAGTCCATGCAGGCCCGTATGCTGGGGGGGGGGGGGGGGTTCGAACAAATGCACCCCAGCCGCCCAGCGGTGGCGGAACACTTTTGAAAGTGTGGGGGCCGAAGCACTGCCAGTGCTGGCTAGCTGATGCAAATTTGAAAAGTGGAGAGGGGGGGGGCTAAACCTCATTTGTCAATAGGGGGCGCTCTTCTCCAAGAGAACGCTATTGTGGAACCTACCAAAAAGGTGTGTGTTCTTTCAGCAAACCGAAAGGATTCACACACATCCTTATGTGATTTGCTTTTGTTTTGCTGATAGAGAATTGAACTGTTATGTGATCTGTGGACAGATCCTTAAACTTGAACAGTACATGAGTGATTTGAATGATTCTTGTACTAAGAGAAAGCTTATAAATTGGGCTTTCATATCCTAAATTTTGAAAGAGATGCATGCTGAACTTCACTAAAACAATGGTCCTGCCATTTGGGTTTCGGTTTTTTTTTACTCGCCCTGTACAAGAGCATAATATACACATTTTGCTTCATTTATTTAACGGAAAGATGATATTGGGTTTGTTGGGTATATGGAGGTTTAAGGAACCGACAGCTGAGAAATGATTGATCAATACTTTATTAAATTCTTTGCTCTTGAATATGGCTTTAGCTTACAATTTTAGTTTACTTTTTTAAATTCAGTTCCAGAGTTTAGCTGCGCCAACTGGGACAGCTACAGTGCTGCGGATTTCGGTGCCATGGCCACCGCAGGCATCATCGGCGGAAACGGCCGCAAGTGTCGCATCGGTCAGGGCAGCTCTGAAACAGCTTGCAACTGGTACGTCAAGTATGACGCGGACGGTGACACGGTGGACAACTGGGTGGGGCTGTCCTTTGGTGGAGTGCCCAACGTTGGAGGGACGGGGTGCTGTGCTTCTGTCAGCGACTGCAGCACGCTGTCGGGAGCTGGTGCATGGCTGAAATCACAGCACGAGGAATACTGCTGTGGTGAGTATTCATTCATTAATTGATTATTTGCATCAGGTTCTTCGCAGTGCTCCCTTACAACGATCTCTTTATATTAATAATACTAATATTGGCGTCTTGTATAGCGCTCATGTTCGTCACGAAGTGACGCTCCTGGTGCTCCAATATTACCCTGGCTTTAGCACGGCTGCCATTACGGCGCTCAAACATTGAAGGAATTTCTTCCTACCAGGTACCCATTTACTACACCTTGGTGGAGAGAGGCAATTGTAGTAAAGTGCCTTGCCCAAGAACACAAGCACCATGTTCCCATTCAGGAGTCAATTAAACCCATGTACCACGGCACAATAGTCAAACACCGTAACCATTGGACCACAGCACCCCTCAACTTGCAAGGGTACTTGCGTACTCGATATGTACACTTGAGCTCTATAGCTTGTCCTTGTGCATCGGAATGACGTTCCATGTCTTGTTGCGTGGACGTATTTGGAAAACTGCGATGCAAAATCTGTCCAGCAAGAAAATGTGATCAAGCCTCATAATGTCATGGTGTCACTTTTTCCTTCTTTCCCTGCTTTTGCCCCTATAGGCTGCCCTGAGTTGGACTGTGAGCCCTGCCCTGCTGGTTATGTGATTGACGAAAATGGATGCCAAACTTGCACTTGTGGTTAGTATGTAAAATGTAGATGTAGACTGTTTAATGCAAACCTTTTGTAAGTAGTGAGTAAAGTCTGTCACGAGCCAAAGTAGCCCATTAGGCTGACGTTTATCTCCTGTTTTAGTAGCATGAAACGACTGAGAATATTTCTACTCCCCTGGATGGGATGCTAGTCCATCGCAGGTTACTCCCCAGCTAATGTCGGTACCCTTTTTTGCTTCTGGGTGGAGAGAGGCAAGTGGCAATTAAGTGGCTTGCCCAAGGACGCAACATGTGGCCAGCAGCTGGATTCGAACCCCTGACCATCTGATCATGAGTCACGAACCCTAACCACTTGGCCACACTCCCAAAAGCTTTTGAGAACCTTAGAAAATATATTAGTGCTGGTATTGACCTGGAATTTATTTGAACTTTGGAAATAAATTTGGTAACTTTTCTTTAAACCAGTCTTTTCATGCGACCACTGGGAAGACTACACTGTCGAACAGTTTGCTGCCTTCGCCCAGTCCCCCGACGCCGTCGGAGAGAACGGCCGACAGTGCACCATAACCACTGGCAGTGACAGCACGGCCTGCGACCACTACGTCAAGTACAAGGATCTGGGCCCTACCAACAACTGGTTGGGGCTGACGTTTGGTGGGACTCCTGGTGGGAGCGGCTGCTGTGCTTCTATCAGCGACTGCCAGACGCTGAATGGAGCGGCTTCCTGGATGAAAGCAAAATACAAGAACTACTGCTGTGGTAAGTTGTTTTGTTCTATAAAGTCAGTCAAAAATTGGTCTTGCCATTTGGGGTAATTTTTGTTTACTCGCCCTGTACTGCATGTTTTTGCAACTCCCATTACTTTACAAGGGTGGATCGGGGGGGGGGAGGGCGCAAGTGGCGTCGCAATAAAGGCAGGCACTGCGTACGCCACCATCTTTTCCTCCAAAGATTTGGTTAAAATGGTCAAAAATTGCCTCGGATCGCACCACGGAGCATCTAGAATCCAAACATTTTTCGGGCCCCAAGCCCCACGCTGTATTTTTGGGGCCCACTTTTAGTGAGACAGAAAAAACTTTTTGGGCCCCCCAAAAATTGTGTTCTGGCTCCGCCCTTGTTACTTTAAAGTGAAGTTTAGTACTAGTTTCGACAATTTAATGTGCCGAAACACTTATTTTGCGCCTTGTTTAATTCCAGTTCCAGAATTCACCTGCAAGAACTGGGACAGCTACAGCGACCAAGATTTCGGAGCCATGGCCACCGCGGGCATCATCGGCGAAAACGGCCGCAAGTGTCGCATCGGTCAGGGCAGCTCTGAAACAGCTTGCAACTGGTACGTCAAGTATGACGCTGACGGTAACACGGTGGACAACTGGGTGGGGCTGTCTTTTGGTGCAGTGCCCAACGTTGGAGGGAGTGGATGCTGTGCTTCTGTTGGCGACTGCAGCACGCTGGATGGAGCTGGAGCATGGCTGAAATCGCAGCATAAGGAATACTGCTGTGGTGAGTATTTTCTCTTGATTTTGTGAGTTTCACGTTCCGGTGTAGTCTATGTAATAGAACGTGGCGAATGCCACTGTCTATTACATACGAACAGATTCTCTGATTAATTCGGCAAGACAACCACATCTTGACCTCTAGATTTGACCAATCAGTGGGCGCTTTCTATGTCGGCCTTCGGTCTGTCACTTTTTTCGCGTCTAGATGTGGATGAAAATACCCCGCTCGACACAGCAACAAAAGCTTTGATCACGTGCTATTATGTTACGCAACACGTACGTGCGCGACTGTTGTTGCATTACAATACACTGGATTCGAATTGACCACAGTTTTAGTCCTGATTTGGGTATGAAATGACGTCACGATTTAGTAAAGTCGACTCCGATTGGCTGGCGCGCGGCTTGCATGTCTGCAAGACGGACAAGGTATTCATAATTTTGTTCCTGGTCATGGTTCCTGGTCTTTTCCTCCACTTTCACACTGACGGACGGCACAGTCAGTGTTGTTCATCTAGAAAAACTTAATATGACTTGCGGACTTAAAACAAATCTGTTTTGGCTGTTGTTGTTTTTTCGGAGCAGGCCCCAAGTTCAGCTGTGACAGGTGGGACGACTACAGCGCTGCCGATTTCGGCGCCATGGCCACGGCAGGCATCATTGGTGACTACGGGCGCAAGTGCCGCATCGCCCAAGGCAATTCCCAGACGTTCTGCGACTGGTACGTCAAGTACGACGCGGATGGCGATGCGTACGACAACTGGGTGGGCCTGACATGGGGCGGGGTGGCTGGCCTGGGCGGGTCTGGATGCTGCGCGTCTTCCTCTGATTGCAGTACGCTCAACGGAGCCGGTGGTTGGTTGAAATCAGAACATAAGCAGTATTGCTGTGGTGAGTCTTTTCCTTATCTCAATTTCCTTTTTGAATGTGAGAGGCATTGTGCTCGATGCAATTTATTTTCTACTTGATGAAGTAAAGGGGACGAACCTGTGTTCACAGGAACGGAGTGCCCATCGCTCTTTCGAAGCGATTGGGCCAGACTCATATGCTGCTGTGGGGGATCGCCACACCTCCTCCACAGCGAGTCTGTTACCTTCCCTGCATTGAATAATGCCGGTACCCATTTAACACCTGGGTTGAGAGGAGTAATTGAGGTAAAGCGCCTTACTCAAGGCCAAAACATTTATGGCCACAGTGGGGCTCGAACCACAACCTCACGATCATAAATCATGTGCTCCACCGCTAGACCACACGTTCCCCACTGTTCTACGTGATAAATGAGTATTGAGTGTAATAATCTGTGTAACATGTCATCCTGATGAGGATGTGCCTGTCAGGTTAGTGGAGAAATTCAAACTACAAGGAGGAATATTTTTCTAGAGCTGTTCATTTTCGAATAATTCAGTATTCGATTACTTGAAACTGTGTTTGACCGAATATTCGGTTATTTGAAATTGCCAGCTGCAACTCTGTGCCATGCCGGTCAAAAGTAACACGTAGCGTGCACAAATAAAAAATTTGCATGCCGCGGTCAATATGGGCCATTCAGGAGCGTTTTGCAGTCAATATTTATAATTGTCGAGGGCTTTAACTACTAAAAGGATGGGAATAATGCGCCACAGTCGGCAAAAATGTTACCGTCGACAAACAAATTTGGCACCTGACAATTACGATAGACTAACATCACATATGCATAGTTTTTGTTTTTGAATATTCCCACTGGCAAAAAGGTATTTGAAAATTCCGATCAAGTTCCAATATTTGATATATGCGGGACATCCCTATATTTTTCTGTGAGATAATACTCGGCTCAGAGAAATAATGGGTTATTAGTAAGGTTGCAAATCATAATATAAGTACTATTCAGATGTGACAAATTTCCAAGAAGGATTTACATATTGAATGTTGCTTTGCAATGGAGATCAACCTGAGCCTGTTTTGACCTCTAGAAATGTTGAAGCATGTGTTTGTGTTTTTCGTTTCCTAGGGCCTGAATTTCAGTGCGACCGATGGGATACCTACAGCGCCGCTGACTTTGGTGCCATGGCGCTGGCCGGCGTCATCGGCGAGAACGGCCGCAAGTGCCGCATCTTTGAGAACTCTTGCGAAGAGTCCTCCTGTGATTTCCTGGTGAAGTACGACATCGACGGCAACAGCAGCGACAACTGGCAGGGTCTGACATCCGCCGGCGGGCCCGGCGGGAATGGATGCTGCAGTTCCCCCGCGGACTGCAGCATGCTGAACGGGGCCGGAGCCTGGTTGAAGGCGCACCACCAGGACATCTGCTGTGGACCCAGAGTTGGAGCTCAGGTTCTGGAGCCAGGCCTTGACAGGGTCTTAGGCCGTGGACGGGCTTAAATTAGCTTCTCTCAATACAATTTTTTTCAGATTATGTATAGAAAATTATACAATAAACCAACTACTGGCGGCAAACTATTAAGATCACCAGGTGTCTGCACTAGGTAAATTAATTTATAGAAATCCACACAAAGTATGAGTTATTTATCCAATTTTCAGAATTATTGTATTGCATAAAATACATTACCATTATAAAAACATTACTGTTTGCAGTGTTTTTATAATCAGATTACAACGTTTTAAATAAGTAACTTAACAAGTCAGCCGAGCAGATTTTAATTGTTTTCTTTTTTGTTTACAATAATAAGCTTCATTTTTGGGTTTTTTTTACAGATTCTTACCTTTTTCCCAAAGTAAGGATTTTAACGGGTGTTGTATACTATCTTTATTTTTTCGTCAATTGTATTTTCATCTGATGTAACGTCTTATCATGTGTTTAAATATAATGTTCATTGTATACTTTTTTTTTATGTGCACATTTGCCGTAGAACTGTGTGACATGACGCGGGGTCGTTTCCAACAGTGACCATTCCACATGACTGAATATATATGTCTCGTCTGCCATTTTTACCATAGGATTTGTATGGGCAGTTTAAGTAAATATGTTCTAGTTGACATTTCTGAAACAATAAATAAGACTGGGTAATGGGACAATGCTTCATAGCTAGCTGACTGTAGTTATCCCCCCCCCCCCACTCCGACACCCCAAAAACATGATGACAATTATACCTTTAATGATGTCCGACTGTGCACAACATTTGGACTGAGCAAGCTGGGGGTTTGGGGGTATTTGTACTACATGTATTCTGTAATATGGTGTTCATGATCGTCGGCTCTCATTGAAAGTATGGTACGAGCTCCCCCACCCAACCCCCACACCCCCTCCCCCAACCCCCACACCCCCTTCCCCAACCCCCACACCCCCTTCCCCCACACCCCCTTCCCCCACATCCCCCTCCCCCAACACCCCCCTCCCCCAACGCCCACACCCCCCTCCCCCAACGCCCACACACCCCCCCCCTCCCCCACCCCTATTGATTTGACGGAAGCCTTAGTGTCCGGAGAAATTAAAAAACCTGTCTGCATTTCAGCTTGATTTTCTAATGAACCCCCCCCCCCCCCCGGGCCCCTCCCCCTCTTGCAAAAACTCCTGGATCCGCCCCTGCTGCACCTCGGCGGCGTATGACGTGACCACCATGGTTGTAAATCCGGGGATGGGTGTGGGTTAATATATCCCCCCTCCCCGTAGCGTGCTTTTCGTATTGACCAGTGGTCAATGGCAACTGGTATTACAAGATTAGATTCGGGCCTATGTACTCCGAATGGCGAAAATAATGTAGGGCATTGACGTGACTGTTTTGTTCACGTACCCAGGTAAAACCTAGTCTATTGCCATGGTCTATATGATGCTTGAGCAGATTCGCGGAGTAATGCAAGACAACCGCTTCTTGATATCTAGATTTTGATCAGCGGGCGCTTTGTACGTCGGGTCTTCGGCCATTCACCGTTGTCGCATCATAGACATGGATAAAAAAAAACCTAGACACGGCATGGCTGTGGTCACGCACTGCGAAGTACGCGCCGGCCGTTGTTGTATTACAAAACACTGCATTCAAATTGACCAATCAAACATTTAGTCCTGTTTTGGGAATGAAATGACGTCACGATTTAGTAAAGTCGGCTCCGATTGGCTGGCGCGCGGCTTGCATAAATCTGCATGCTTTGACGTATCAGACGTTAGACAGGAGATGGCTCCGTGGATAACGGGTGATACTCAGACTAGTGAAACGTAACACAGGCTGCTGTTTAGGGGCCGGGAGAAGGACGAGGGGATGGAAGGGTCAGGTCCGTCAACACAAACTTGCCCGAAGTAACGCTAATATTGACAGAAACTCATGTCAGTTGTCACGTCACTACGTTAGCAGAAGTACTTGGGTTTACCGTACCCCAAAAAAATAAATATTAAGGCCGCGCCTGCAGAAATTCGATCGCATTTTGAAAAAAAAACAGTCAACACGTACCTGCCCGAAGTAACGCTAATATTGACAGAAACGTCATGTCACGTCACTACTTAAGCAGGGTTTATACCCCTCAAAAGTTAAGGCCGCGCCTCTATCTTAAGTCGACACGTACCTGTCTGATATGTAACGCTAATATTGACAGAAACTTCACCTCTCGTTCTTGCTTAAAGGCCTACTTAGGTTTACCAAAAAACTTCAACTTGACTCAAGGTCACCCTGTAAAGGTATAAAGTCACGACCCATTCCGAGGAACCAACCAGAACACCGCCAGCTTGGGGCTCGACCAGAAATCGAAGAAGAAACTTGTTTCCTCTGATAAAGATTCGTCTGCCAACTCGCAAATTAACTCGCTACAAAGTTAAGCAGAGTCATTAAAACAACCATGAAGGGGGTTGCAGTGTTCTGCTTCTTGTTGGCCGTGTTGGGGTGCAAGTTTGGAGCGGAGGCTAGTCAAGGGGGCAGGGCTGAGAGGCTCCGCCAAGCTGAGGAAGGTACGGTGTGTAACATATAGCATGTTAATTTCCCTTGAATGCCTTTTCGCTCGGTACATTTTCCGCACTTTATTTTGATAATCGGAAACCTGTGGTACCAATTAGAAACCTTAGATTAAAGATGTATTATCATTGCCGCATTTCGAGTTTCATCCCAAATTGTTTGTCTTATCAAATTTCTGTCTTTAATTAGATCCTCTAAAATAGATCAAGGCTTAGATTTTGCTTTTGAATAATGGCCTTTTGCTCACAAGCTTCAATAACTTTTTAAATTCAGTTCCAGATTTTAGCTGCGCCAATTGGCACAGCTACAGTGATGCAGACTTCGGTGCCATGGCCACCGCAGGCATCATTGGTGCTTATGGCCGCAAGTGTCACATCTTTCAGGGCAGCTCAAAATCAGCTTGCAACTGGTACGTCAAGTACGACGACGACGGTGACACGATGGACAACTGGAAGGGGCTGACTTTTGGCGGAGTGCCCGGAGGGAGTGGATGCTGTGCTTCTATCAGCGGCTGCAGCACGCTGAATGGAGCTGGAGCCTGGCTGAAATCGCATCACGAGGAATACTGCTGTGGTGAGTATCAATTAATTAACTGCAACAGGTTCTTCCCAACTTTCTGACATATCCTTGTACTTTTGGTGTAGTTTATTGCAAGTCAGTTTTGCCATGGTTCAAGGGCGGATCCAGGGGGCCATGCCCCCCCCCCCCCAAAAAAAAGAAACCAATTGGGGTTTTTTATGTGACGTCGCAATAAAGGCAGGCAATGAGTACACCACCATCTTTTCCTCAAAAAAAATTGGCTAAAGTGGTCAGAAATTGCCTCAGATCGCACCACAGAGCATCGAGAATCAAAAAAAAATTAGGGGCCCTTAGGCGGGCCTCGAACCCCACGCCGTAATTTTTTGACCCACTTTTTGGGAGACACAAACAATTTGTTGGGGCCCCCAAAAAATTGTGTTCTGGATCCGCCCTTGCTTGGTTGTGCAAGCCAATGCACTCCAGCAGAAGTGCATTGGAGGATTATTTGACTCACCAGCCAAGTGATTTTACCACAGACACGACAGACTTGTTCATTTTGGTCTCTTTGTTTATTGCTGACCAAAGAGTTTCCTCACATCATGACCTAGCTTTCTTTCAATACTTGTAAGTTCTATAGCAGTGCACTTTAGTTCACCCCAAAGTACAGAGGCAGATATTGGAGGGCTGTGAAAAAAAAAAACATGGGCGAGTCACTTTATTTCAAATACTGAAGTGATTTGGAGGTTCATGACGAGCAAAGGGCGTACTTCCGAGTATACTCGAGATTTAGACTTAGGTTCAAGCTTTTCCTTGGGCATCTGAAGAAAGTTCCACGTCTTGTTGGGTGGACGTAGTTGGGAAAACCGTCACCATATAGCCAGGAACGGACGTACGGAATAATTGTGGTATTGTTGTTTTTTTCGTCTGTCTTTCACTGCTGTAGGCTGCCCTGAGTTGGACTGCGAGCCCTGCCCTGCTGGTTACGTGATTGATGAAAATGGATGCCAAACTTGCACTTGCGGTAAGAATGCAAAATGTAGACGTATAGACTGCTTAATGCAAAGCTTATCAAAAAGCTTCTTGATGTTGGTGTACCTTGGATGTCATGAACCCTCGGAAGCACAGTTGCTGATCTTGCAATGTACAATGAAGACGCAGAGAAATGTGTTCGGGCTCGGCTTTGGCTGAACCGATAGCTTTGTGAAGTGGACTCGATAAGAAGAAGGTATTGAACTGGAAATAAAATGTGGTCGTTTGTTTTCTTTTAACCAGCCTTTTCATGTCACCACTGGGAAGACTACTCTGTCGAGCAGTTCGCTGAGTTTGCCCAGTCCCCCGACGTTATCGGAGAGCACGGACGTCAATGCACCATAATCACTAGCCACAACACGGCCTGCGACCACTACGTCAAGTACAAGGATCAGGGCCCTAACTGGCTGGGGCTGACGTTTGGTGGGAATCCTGGTGGGAGCGGCTGCTGTGCTTCTATCAGCGACTGCCAGACGCTGCATGGAGCTGCTTCCTGGATGAAAGCAAAATACAGGGACTACTGCTGTGGTAAGTTGTTCTGTTTGTTTTTGGTTTTTGGACTCAGTGAACAATGACCCCCCCCCCCTCTCAGCGATACTGAAGAGAAAATATGGAGACCACTTGGAGGGCTAATGTATTGGCATCAGCGCCTGATGCTCACTCTAACCAACAGCGGATCCAGGAGGAGGCTTCCATTTATAAACTATGAGCAGTTCTGGTTTGGGGTATATGCTGCACCTTAAGAGGCGGTAGTTTGGGAACCGGCTGTACCCGGGAGTCAACATCTCGTGTAGGGATCCAGGTAGGCTACCTGCCAAAGAGGAAAGAGAGACTGCCTGGGTTTGATTCTCTGGGAACAAAATGTGTGACTCTCCTCACTATGTTCGCAGACCAACACTCTGTGAATTTGTTTTCCGGCTAGTATAAGAATATCAATAACGTGCTTGTGTATTAAATGACAGCTAAACCCAATTATAAAGGGACTTTCTTAATTACGTCACTGATGGAAGCTTGCATGTAGCTTGATAAAAAAAGAAATGTGTCTAACCGCCTCCAAATTTTGCACCTTGTTTTACTTCCAGTTCCAGAGTTCACTTGCGAGAACTGGGACAGCTACAGCGACCACGATTTCGGAGCCATGGCCACCGCGGGCATCATCGGGGAGAACGGTCGCAAGTGTCGCATCGCTCAAGGCGGCTCAAAATCAGCTTGCAACTGGTACGTCAAGTACGACACCGACGGTGACACGGCGGACAACTGGAAGGGGTTGACTTTTGGTGGTGTGCCCGGAGGGAGTGGATGCTGTGCTTCTGTCAGTGGCTGCAGCACGCTGGATGGAGCTGGAGCCTGGTTGAAGTCGCACCATCGGAACATCTGCTGTGGACCCACAGTTGGAGCCGCTCATCGAAGGGCCCTGGGCCGGGCCTTGGGGAAGTCCTAAGCTGCGGAGAGGCTTTAATTAGATTCTCTGGATACAATTTTTATTTTCAGATTATGCATGCATAGAAAATCAATTTCACTGAATTATTCTCATGACACATAGAAAAGAGTTCGTATGGCTAATAAAAAAAGTCATGCTACAAATAAATAATACCTCCATTAGATGGACTCCTCGATCTTTTCTGTTGCTTTAATTGATTTTTTTTAAAGAAAGCACAAGTATGTTAAAGGAGCTTCAGGAATAAAATGGAATATAATTGAAAAAAGGCATGCCCCCGATTTTGCAAATTTGCATGTGTGTAATATTTTAGTCCATGATTTTCGTCTGGAGATTTTCCTTTGAGAGGTCATTAAACTTTTGGGGCTAAAATTGGCTCTTTTATTCTTTTATTCATATTTCAGAAAGTCCAAAAATAGGGTAAATTAAGGGAAGCAAGGCTTAAGAATCGAGTAAAAAAGTTATCTATATTCTAATTAAAAATATACTTAAAGGTACATTCATTTTAGTTTATTGGCATCCCAGCTAGCCCCTCCCCCACCGCATTCGTCACCCATACGCCAACACCAATACGCCCACCCCATAAAAAAGTATAATTTATGGGGAATTTCTCCTCCCCCGGCCATGAATTTGTTTTCCCAAACGAGATCGGCAATATCAAAAGAGGGCGCTCTCTCTGCGTTATACACATTCATGAAGTCCAGGGCTTTAGAGAATAAAAGTTATAAAACAAGGAATAATGGTGTTTAAATCACCGACGATTGGCAGCTGCATGATTCGTGGACTGGTTGGAAGTAACTGATCCGAGTTCAAATTCTGAGTGAGTGTTTTCTCAGTTCTTTTCATTTCAAATAACTAAAGTGAAGAAGGAAGATTTCTCACAAGACATAACGATTTGTGTTGTGGAGAGCAAGGTATTAGATGTGCATGTAATCGACCAATCAGAAGATGGGAAACGGATGACGTTTGGAAAAAAAGAGTCGCCCCAGTACAGCTAGTCCCTCCCATACTGCCAGTCGAGTCGAGGTCACCCCACTGACCTCGATTCCCTGGCGTGCGAGATGGCATAGAGGGCGCTAGACAGGTGAACCGGTGGCGTGGATTGTGCAGTTAACGGTTAATTCGCGTTTCTTTTTCTTGCAAATTGCATCTGCTGACTGCTGTGTTGTTGTTTTCAAAATGGCTTCCACAACAACCCAGAGTGATTCTCCTCCAGAGAAGAAAGTCAAAGGGAAAATCTACCACCAGAAGTTTCGAGACGAATGGTTAGTAGATGACAAGTATTCCGAGTGGCTTCGGCCTGACCCAGTGAACCCGAAAAAGGGGCAGTGCAGCGTGTGCTGCACGTCGTTTATTGCCAAGAGGTCAAACATTGACGACCACGCCAAAGGTTTGAAACATCTGAAGAAATTGAAAGAGAAGTTACACCCCGTGCCCATAAAGCCCACTGCTCCCTTGGCTCCTAAGCCACGTGAAGTTGAAGTGTCCTTAACAGAGACCGACAAGGACAGGATGAGGGCAGAAATCAAGCTTGGAGCATGGGCCGCGGAGTACAACATTCCTTACCGTACATTTGACCACTTACCTGAAGTTTTGGCCAAGACTTTCTCGGACTCCAACTTAGCTCGAAGCCTGCAACTGAAACGCACCAAAGTTTCCGGTGTAGTGACAAATGTGATTGGCCAGGGTTTCATTGAAGACACGGAGAACGAACTTAGCAGGAAAGATGACATGGGGAAAGTCAAATACAGCATCATAATTGACGTAATCACAGATCGCTCCGGTGAGAAGCAATTGGCCGTCATCGTAAAATATTTCGATGGACCCGTCATGAAAACGCGTCTCCTTGATCTTGAAGCTGCTGGAGAGGGGGACGCTGAATCACTGTTCCATGCGCTTTCGGTGGTCATCACTAAGAAAGGACTGGACTGGTGTGACTGCGTGGGGTGGTGTGCAGACGCCAGCGATGTAATGCAAGATGATGAGTACGGACTGAAGAGGAGACTGATGAGTATGAACCCTAACATGGCCACCGTGAATCGCTCCTGGCACAGTGCTGCCCTGGTGGCCTCCCGGGCCTGCGAAGTTCTGCCTCAATCGTTGGAGCAACTGGTGCATGATGTTTATGGGTACTTTTCCAACTCCAACAAATCTCCCGGTATGGCCGGATTTCAGGAGCTCATTGACACTGAGCCGCACAAACTACTGAAGCCACGTCAGACGCGCTGGCTGAGCCTGAGCGAGTGCGTAACACGACTCCTTGAACAGTGGGACGCGTTACTCCAGTTTATGCAGGCTCAAGATCGCAGCGAGAAGAATGCGCAAGCTTGTGTCATCCTCATGCTTGACCCGTACACCAAAATATACCTGGAGTTTCTCTCTTTCGTGCTACCGAAAATACTCGGCTTCAATACGACTTCTGAGTCGGGTGGATCCACAATCCACATCCTCGCCAATATGCTGAGTAATCGGTACTCGGATATTCTCTCTCTGTACATGGAACCAGCAGTGCAACAGTCTCGTCCGTTAGCTGAAATCGACCCATCAGATGAAGCCCTCATGCTGCCGTTGGAGGCCACATACATCGGACTAGCAGCACAACAGTCGCTCACTGCGCTGGATTCAACCGCTGAAATGAAGATGGAGTTCCTCCAGCAGTGCCGAGCATTTCTGGTCACCACGTGCGAAGAGATCAAGAAGCAGTTTCCCTTCAGCGACCCCAAGTTCGCAGCAGCCAGCAAGCTTAACGTAGATTTAGTGAAGACAGGCAAAGTGGCTTCTTTCGTGGCTGAAATACTGCCTCATTTCCCAGGAGTCGTAGCCGAGGAGAAGCTGCAAAAGGTGGATGACCTCTGGCGACAGATCCCGTTCAAGGGGGACCTATCCGCAGATTTGGACTTCCTGCCGTTCTGGCAGAAAGTTTTCAGCGATGACAAGTACGGCCCTCTCAGCTACTGTGTGAAAACGATCATGCTTATATCAGTAGAAAATGCTGATTGTGAGCGAGTGTTCTCTGAGCTTCAGCCAGCCAAGTCTGCGCCACGCCACCGGTTGACGGCGGACGCTCTCATGAAACTCGTAGCGGCTCGGGAAGGCATACAGGAGACTGGCTGCGCTGAATTTGAGCCAAGCGAAACAATGTACCAAAAGTTCCAGAAGAGTTCTACACTGTATGTACGATAAGTACAAGAAAACGGAGCCTGCCAGTGTGGACAAAGCTGGCTATGAGACCCATGTACATGTATGATATGGGACACATTTCATTGTTATTATTCAAATATTGAGTGGCTCAGCGTGGAATGGGAGGAATATTATCACAAGGTAAAATCTGGACTTTACCATTTCACGAGGCGAAGCCGAGTGGACTGGAAAACCCAGATTTCTCCCATTTCATAATTTAAAGCCACTCAATATTGTTTTATATAACTGACATATAGATCCTTGTCATAAATTGGTGGAAAAAATGTATTTCTCTCTTCCAAACCACCCCTTCACAAAAATGTTTGAACCCAACGCTGTAGCGCTGGCTCTTTGGAACAATACGCGCTATGCGCAACGCTGAACGCGCACACTAGCATACATTTGCACACAAATACCGCGTTATGGTACAAGAATGATCCTAACTGTTGAATAGTATTTCCCATTCCCCATCGGCGAATGGGACTTTTTGAGCCCCGGCACGAATGGGAGCAATAACGAATGTCACGTGATGTGAGTTCCACCAATCAAATGACAAGGACCTGTATGTCGGTTAAGTGGAGATTTCATGCATGTGTGTATAGGCCTACATGTACAATGTAAAAAAAAAATTAAAAAAAGGAAGGAAGCGGCAAGCGGGCACTGTTGGCTGATCTTCCAATATGGAGGATGGATTCTTCAATCTTCTCAACCATTTTACTGATTCCAATTTATGTCCAAAGGGGTCATTGGCCTTTGTACATAATTTTCAGAAATAGACCAATTTGGGGGTTGGTATTTCATAGCAAATATCGTTACTCTGACTTGTTTGACGTTTTGGGTTCGTAGATGCTGGAAAACCTTATAAAACAATCATGTTCTTGTAGTCTGGTTCCCTGACCCCACTTAAGATGAAACGGAGCAATAGGCGTCAGCCTGAGGGAATTGTAAGGTCAGGGTATCAGTCGAGCTGGCGTGTATCCATTCATGTAATCAATTGCAAAGAAAATACGGACTAACTCCATATGGTAAAATTGGGAGCAGTATTTGAAAAAAGCCAATTTGTTTCCAACGCTGGTCAGCCAACCAGCGTTGGAAATTGATACAAAAATACCACTTTCCTTGAAAATGTCAGCACCCCTCGTGCCTTGATTTTGCATTATGCTTTAGACTGTTGTTCACTATTAACAGTTTTGTAAAAGTATTTCGTGACAATTTGGTAGTTTTGTTTTTTGATGTTCAAAAGTGTTGTTTATTCCTTTTAAAAAACCTGGAAAGAATGTAGTATCCAGACGCTACTTCATTGGTTGTGTACATAGTCTATGGAGAGTCAGGAAGAAGTGCAAAAATACTTTGTAATGAAATTGAAAATGTCCGACATTCATGTCTTTTCAACATTTATAATGACTGACCTTCATTGAGATGAAATATATGATAATAGAAAAAGTGGCGTTAGGAAGCAACATTTTTTCTGAAAACCTGATTGATCTGGATGAATAACATTAAGATCATTAGGCCAAAAAAAAAAAGTCTCCGGTTTCTGGTATGCGCACGCGTCGCCGTAGCCATGCGCGTCGGCAAAATGAAAAACTTTTTTTTTCAATGAAAGATGATGTCTCAAAACCGCCAAACTCACTGGTTTGACTGGAATCCTGCTGCTGCACAATTTTAACGTGTTTTTAGATTGGGTTATGGTCGAGAATAAGCTTTATGTGGCCTCTCTGGACTCCCATATATTTGCACTAAGTTTAGTTGGGCACCATTTGCAGTCATCAGCCGACATTTGAAGCAAAAAATTCAGGTAAAAATTAAAAAAAGCCGCGTCG